GAGGTTTCGGGTAGTAGTATCGCTGCTACACAGCAGATGCAACTTGAGTAGTTAATTTGTATTTTTTGAGGAAGCGTTTGCTAAAGAAAAGGCGTATATCCGTGAACCCTAGCACAACTTCTAAGCATTTCTTTTTTAATATAATAATTTTCGGAGAACCGCTGAGCGGTATGGCGTAGAAATTAAAATGTGAAATTATCGACAAATATAAGCCATTTGGTGAAAACTATCAAAAAATTATTATAAATAGACTTCAATATCTCCTTGAATAGATCAAATAAAAAAATACAATAAATCCTTTAAACTATTACACATACATAAAATAACAAATGGTTAATTATAAATGTCCATTTTGTAAGCGAACATTTAGTAGTCGTTCAGGATATAGCCAGCATATTAATGTTTGCAATCCATCTAGCAGTGATGAAAGTGACGATGTTTCTATTATGGATATTAATGATGTTTCATTAGAAAGCGAAGAGATTTTTAATTCTATTAATTCTATAGAGGTATATATTATAAATAAAGATTTTTGACTTTTTGAAATATTTTTAAACATAATTTATTTTAGATGCATTATGAAAGTTTGCATGAAGATCTTCCTCCACCTGTTGAAGAATTATCACTTTTAAGTGACCATAGCGGAAATTCAGAAAATTTTATATCTGAAGATTCAATAATAAATCAAGATATTTTAGAAGAAGTTGAATCTGAAGTAAATGTAAATTACCCTAATGAAGTATACGAAGATTTTATGACATTAGTAATTAAAAATAAATTAAATAATAAAGCAGGAAATGAAATAATCCATTTTTTTAATAAGCATGCAAATCTTACTAAATCTCCATTACCTAAATCAACCGAACAAGGACGACAATATATGGATAATATGAATCAACCAAATTTAGTTTATCAAAAAACTTGCGTAATAACTTATAATAATATTGAATATTATCTTCACCATTGCAATCTTATAAATTGCATAAAAAATATTCTAACTATTTCTAATATAATGGAAAACTTTGCGTTAAATTTCGAAAATCTTGAGGTAATTATTTAAATTTATGCAATTTTATATTTATATATCATCATATTAATATCAATTAATCTTAAAGATTGATGGAGAAAGAATATATAGTGAACAAAATACCGGAATGTGGTGGAAAAATACTGAAGAATGTTTACCAACTGGCGCAAAACTTTTATCCTTGATATTATATTCTGATGCAACTAACGTAGACACATTGGGTAAAAGTCAACTACATCCTATATATGTAACTATTGGTAACATTAAAAACTGGCGGCGTAACAAACCTGATGCAAAACAATTGTTAGGATATTTACCAATTTTATCAGCAAGCGATAATTCTGATAAAAAATCTGATAAATTTAAGAGAGCAGTACGAGAAGCTTTTCATAACTCCTTAAAAGTGCTTCTAGATCCTATCTTAACATTAAATAATAATGGTGTTGATTTAACAATACATGATGAAACATTTTGGTTCTTTCCTCGAATTTCAGTTGTAATTTCAGATTGGCCTGAAGCTTCAATGTTTTGTCTCACGTATAAAGCATATAATTCAAATCACCCATGTCATTTTTGTTTAGTCTCAAAAGATAAACTTAATAGCATCAATTTACAAAATAATGAAACAGAATTACGCACTCATGAAAATAT